GAGTCTTGTGCCCCCCCCCCCGATCGTTTGAATTAGGGCAAAAAGTGCCGGCCTATGTACGGACAAAACTAGGCACCAAACGACCGATGTTGACGGCGCAAGGGCAACCAAACTCAAGAAGACAAGAAAGAAACTCACCGGCGCGACAGCGACAGGCAGAGAGGAGAACGCAGAAACGGCGCGGCGGAGAAGAGTGGGAATTGATGAGTGATAAACGACACGTCGGCGGCGAGGGAACTTCTTTACCCTTCGTGAAATATTTTAAAAATCACGCTTTTGCCCCAAAACTTTTAAATCAGTAATATAGGACCCCAAATGTATATTTTCCATTTACAACTTGCAAGACAATTTCATTCCAGACTTGATTGAACAAGAACGCCTGATACCTTGTAGGATTACAACTTCAATCATCTCTTATATCGAAAATGCACATTTATGTCTAATTCCTTCGTACGACTACGCTTATACAACATATGATCCCTCGATATAAATTAAAAAAAAGGCCATGTAACGTCTCATTAAGTGTTATATATATGTACACACACACACACACACATATATATATATATATATTCCACGTTGATATGGAAAAGGCGTAGCTTAAAAACCACGCCACAAAAAGGAGACAAAGTCATATAATATGGAAAGGAGAATCGGAGTGAGAGCTTCAGAGGCGTCATCCATCGATCATGAGCTCTCAAGAGTCTCAGTCGCACCACACGATCGGTTCAAATCCCTATGTCCTCATCTCTTCCACCCCGTCCTCTGAGAGGAGTGAGTATATACATATATATATGGCTTGAGTTTTAGGGTTTTGTTTGCTGTTTGTGTGTCTGAGTTTAAGGGTTTTGTTTCAGGGGCGACGGACAGGGTTTTCGACACGTTGAATCGGTGCGGGAAGAAGATGGAGGATGCCACCCGCAAGGCTGAGGCATTTGCCGACGGCGTCCGTAATCACCGTCAGTTCCTCTCTTCCTCCTCCGTTTTATCTTTTCCGAGTTCCTTTCTTTCCACCCAATTACCGAATGAGCTGATGAGATCGATCAAACAGTATATAGTCAGATGTTTTTTCTTCTGATGATGCATGCATGCATGCATGTGGCCTTACGTAGACTTGATTGGCTCGTTCTGACGGGCTAAACGTTACATATTGTGTTTATGAAAAACAGTAAAGTTCAGCCCTAGCATCGCAGATGCGGCCATGGCAAGGCTTGCTCAGGGAACAAAGCTGATCACGGAAGGGCATCATAGAGTGTTTCAGCAAGAGTTTGGGATCTTCCTCCCAGGGGAGAAGCTCTTAGATTCATTCGCCTGCTACGTTTCAACCACTTCTGGCCCAATCATGGGAACCATTTACGTATCCAGCATAAGGGTTTCCTTTTGCAGCGATTATCCCTTACGTTACCCCTCCCCCTCCGGCCACCCACCATCTGCATACTACAAGGTAATAATATATTAGTCCCCTTGATCATAACCATATCCATATTAAATATAATAAACAAACTAAAGCTTCTTCACTCCACCATGCAGTATATGGAATCTTGAAATCTGCATTTCGTGATGCAAAGAAAGATGTAATTTGTGTAATATAAAATGGCAGGTGATGCTTCGGCTGGAGGATATAAGGAGCATAAGTCCGTCGGCAAACAGAGGGAAGCCGTCTGAAAGATATATACACGTGGTCATGCAAGACGGGTTTGAGTTTTGGTTCATGGGTTTTGTCTCGCACGACAAGGCCTTCAAGTGTCTGAACCATGCTTTACAGCTCCTCTATTAACGTGTCCGAGACCCCACGTGGACTAATCTGATGAATATCTTGGTATTATTCGTTTTATGAATAAATTGATTAGTGTTGTATCGAAAATAATAACAACAATGGATGGTTCTATTGGGAATCCAGGCAAGTTGGTTAAGGGGTATGACGGGAAACCAAGAGGTCAGGGGTTCGACTCCTTGCCGCCTCTTTAAACTGTCACATGTCGTCTATCAGTTACAGTTGATTTATCACCCACGTGTGTGTTGTAGACTCGTGCGCGTAGGGTTGAGGTTTTTCTTAGTCCGCGATGCTGTCCTGATGCCGTCTTCGTCCGATCCATTGGGATGTGAGGTGTTACGGTGTCCGGTGTTCGACTCGAAGTGTTGGACAGATTTACCAATATAAATATAAAAAAGAAAAATGTATGGTCCTATTTATTAAACGGACCTTTATGTGATTATTATTATTATTATTGTAAACGAGAATTGTCATGTAATCACCAATTTCGCAGATAATTCCAACGATGCGTGTACGAAGAACCACCAATAACTCGATGAAAATATCTAAGACACGTGGCAGCGTTAGATAGCAGGAACGGCCTAGATTGTTTCGGAAAAGAACCAATCAATGGCCACGATCTCGTCCCACAATATTTCTCCGGGCCTTCAAATATCAACGGGTCATTCGGTTTTCACGAAATGTAAAAGATAAAGCCCCTCTCCTTCCGTAGCTGTCTCTCTCTCTATCCCCACGAGAGAGATTTTTTCTCCGACGCTCCCGGAAAATTTTGTCGAATTGTTGGAGGGAGAGGAAAAAATCCATGGATTTTCATAGTATCAGGCTCCGATTGGCGTCTGTCTTCCTGCTTCTAGGGTTTGTATCGTGCTTTAGCTTGCAGGTAGCTTCATACTTTGTTTTTGGTTCGTTGTTTGCCATTTTTCCCCCCTGGGTTTGATTCGTTTGAGATGATCGAACATTATGATGGATGTTCGTGATACGCTCAGTTCGATATATGATTCACCGGGTTTGATTTGTTTTTACGGGGTTTTTTTTTTGGGGGGGTGGGGGTCGATCAGTTGTTTATCCGTCGCTTCTGAGTTTGGTTTGGTTTTGACTTTCGAAGAGCAAAGTGTAAAATTGAAGTAACTACAGTATTGAAAATAATATTTTTCCTGTTCTTCTGAATCTTAAAAACAACAACTTTCTAAGGAAAACGATAACTTTCCTGACAAAGCAAGCGTGTGTGGTAATCAATCAGGAAGTGGATGGATTCTTCTTTCCGTGAGTTGAATGAAACTAATGTATTGAGTTATGGGGCAACTGAATTCATTATTAGTAGAAAGTAGAAAGGGAGAGTCAAATTCAGTCTATTATGTTTTTTCTGGGAGTGTTTACATGGTTTTTCTGATTTTGTCTTAATCAGGGTATTGCAGCGGAAAATCTTTCCGAGCTGAAACTCAACTCACCGATTCTTCAGGTACCCCCCCATACCTTCTTGATTGTATACATTGCGAGAAACTGTTCTTTGAATTGATTGAAGGTTTGGATGACTTAGATTAGATTATCTTTAGTCTTTTGGAGAACATCAAGTGGCAACTGTTTGTAGGGGTAGAAAAGTTTGGGAATTTTTCTTTGCTTGTGAATCGTGCCGATGGCTGAGGAATTTGACTCGGTACTTTTCTTGGTAGTGTTAGGTGTTTCTCCTCTCAGTGTTTTTTTTTCTTTTGTCAAGATTTTCCACTTATTTTTGTTCCTGCTTGTAGTTTTTGTCCTTTCTAGTGCTTACTTAATCAACGTGCATTCTTTGCCAGGATGAGATTGTAAAGCAAGTGAATGAGAACCCAAATGCTGGGTGGAAAGCTGCCATCAATGATCGGTTTTCCAATACCACCGTGAGTTTACTGGCGTTCGTGATACTTTCTCTTATCAGCAATGAAATCCATCTACGTATTCCTGCTCCTGAACGTGTCTAGCTTTTGTATTTTTGCTTCTGTGTGTGCAGGTTGCAGAATTTAAACGCCTCCTTGGGGTGAAACCGACGCCGAAGAAGGAACTCTTGGGTGTCCCTATTGTAAGCCATGACAGATCTTTGAAGCTGCCCAAAGAGTTTGATGCGAGAACTGCTTGGCCCCAGTGCAGCACCATTGGAAGGATCTTGGGTCAGTTTTTAGACTCCCAATTTTTCAAATATTTAATCAATCGGTATATCATGATTTGCTGACTCTTTTTAACTTGTGATGAATCCTCTTCTCAATCATCTCACTAAAGATCAGGTAAACCGAATTTTCTGGCTCACATCTTTAGGTTTCCACATGAAGGACCTGTAATTGGATCAGTGACAGCATTTGGATTTTGGTTGTTTAGGGTCACTGTGGTTCTTGCTGGGCATTTGCTGCTGTTGAGTCACTGTCCGACAGATTCTGCATCCATTTTGGCATGGTATTCTGAAATACTATATGGCCTCGTTTGATGATTCATAACACCTTTTCAATTCATCGAAGTTGATTTTAATTGGTCTCACTATGCAGGATGTTCCTCTATCTGTCAATGATCTCTTGGCATGCTGTGGATTCCTGTGCGGTAGTGGTTGTGATGGTGGATACCCCATTGCTGCCTGGCGGTACTTTTGGTACCGTGGTGTTGTCACTGAAGAGGTATCTATTTCTTTTGCAGCTGCTAGACCATGGACTGATGAATGTAATACACACACTTAAAAAAATAAATCGAGTGTTTTCATGGTTGGTTCTTGGTTCAGTGCGACCCATACTTTGACAATACCGGCTGTTCCCACCCGGGCTGTGAACCAGCTTATCATACCCCAAAGTGTGTGAGGAAATGCGTTGGAGGGAACCAGCTATGGAAGGAAACGAAACACTTTAGTGTTAGTGCTTACAGAATCAAATCCGACCCACAAGATCTAATGGCAGAACTTTACAAGAATGGACCTTTTGAGGTCGCCTTTACTGTTTACGAGGTAAGATGTGAATGGTTCATCCCAGAAGTTTAGATTTTGACAATAGATTCGTGTTTAAATGGAAATTTTGCATCTCATGCACTCTGCTCTTTTCGTCTCTTTTTTTTTTTTTTTGCAGGACTTTGCCCATTACAAGGCTGGAGTTTACAAGCACATAACGGGTGGTAACATTGGAGGACACGCAGTTAAGCTTATCGGCTGGGGAACCACCGAGGAAGGGGAAGATTACTGGGTATGCAACCCAACATCACACCTGGATATCACCCATCTTCAAACTGTTTGAATTCTCATTCTTGTTATTTTAACTGGTGCAGCTTATGGCAAATCAATGGAACAGAGGATGGGGTGAAGTAAGTTATTCTCGCCAAACCCATTGTTCATCTTTTTATTGGCCCCCCATAACAGAACTTGCCATATTAGGACAATGCTGGGCATTTGTTTGTTTTCTGATCCCACAAATGAAAAACATGGTTGTCATGTGAAAAAAAAAATGCAGGATGGTTACTTCAAGATCAGGAGAGGAACGAACGAGTGTGGAATCGAAGAGGAAGCAGTGGCTGGCTTACCTTCGAGCAAGAACCTGGCTCAGGACATCGCCGGTTTGGATGATCTTCGGGTTGCTTCAGCCTAAATCCCTTTTTATCAGAACGCTCCTATCCATGTAATTCCCTCCTCGTTGTAATGTATATATTATTACATGTATTCAATGAAATCATGGAACTTATGTCTGTGAATAGGTATTGGAATAAAAAGTTCATTATCATTACTCATTAGTATTGTATGTTAATATGTACGGATCATTGATATTTTGCATTCGTGTTTAAAAAACACGCAGACATATATTTTTTTTATTCGTTCTGCGTACTCTTCTTCAGTATTTAAACGGGAAGACGTCTGTGTTCTCGCAACGGAGCGGGCGAGAATCGTGGGTTTTCCATCGGAGACAATGTCGCCGACGACCCGAATCTTCAGATCGCACAAAGAATCGGTTGAAAAATACCGTATGATTCTCTTCTTCTTCCCTCTGAATTCGTTCGCGGATCCTCTTACCTTCGATCTTCGTCGGAGCAAGTGCGGTGGTTTTCCGCGGTGGTTTTCCGGCGGGCCGATTCTTCCATGGTACATCGTTAAACCACTTTTTTCTGGGGGAAAAGTTAAATAGTTTTTGGTTTTTTTAAGGAATTTCAGTTAACGAGGTTGATGGACTTCCCCCGTATTCCCCTTTCCTTTTCCTAGGGTTCCAAGACAAATTGAAATGCACATAGTTGCAATTGCAAGCACGTGTTTCTTGTTCCTGGAACAGGAACCCCCGGTTAAAGGGAAAACGCCGTACGATTCTAAATGCTTGTAGCCATGGATTTGTAATGTTGAGTTTTTCGTGAAACCCATGTGAACAATTCAGCTTTGGTTCAAACCCTGTTGTCTTAGGTCGCAGCAAACAAAGAAATTCCAGAACTTTTTACTTGAATTCCAGAAGAAAAAGATTTGAATTTCATTTCATGAAAAGCTTAATCAAAAGTTTTTCATAACTCTCTTTTAAGTTACAGAATGGTTTAATTGTATAATTTTAATAGTATTTCATTGATTTGCGTGGATCGAGATGTCTTGGTTTCATTCAGGCACCACTTGGGGCAGAAATATATTTTAAACAAATGAATATTATGCATTACTAGTATTTTGGTGATGGCTTTGGTTTCAAGCTATTGAGAATCTCTATGACTTAGCCACTTTCGGGAGGAAGGTACTCTGTTTCTCTTTAATATGACGGGGAAAAGTCTCCAATGTTGGCAATTGTTCGTGTTGTTGGAGCCATTCCTTCCTCCATATTGAGGCAATTTTGAACAGGAAATTTAGGATTTTTTTATTTGTTGCTTTTAGGGATTTTTTTGATGCCTTGGGAAGATACATATATGAATTCTTTAGTTTATGTGGAAATCGAAGCCAACGTTGCAGTTTTAGAATGTTGCCATTTCTTTTTCCTCTATCATCGAGACAAATGTCGATTCTCTCTGTTTTCTGTTCCATTGTTCTGATTTCCATGCTTAAGCTTTGATGTATATAAATACCTCTGATTCTTAATATATAATCCCATTGATATTTGTTGAGAGAGATTTGAGGATTTTAAACTCTGGTATGCATTCTTTAAAGATTTGGGTATTGGGTATCTGATCTTGGAATTCTTCTTCCTACCACTTATGTTTTAGAGATCATCAACACAGCACAGGAGAACTGCTCCAGCAATGAACTCCAAGTGTAGATCTTGACTAAGGGAAACTGTCAGAGGAACTGTATTAATATCGTTTGTATACCTTCAAAAGAGAGATGCTGAGTTCTAGCTTTGCTCCTTTGATGAAGTCCCGGACTAGTTGCCCTGACGGGCTTCTGTCTTATTCATTCTTCTGTGGGAGTGTTGGAACTGATCTGTTGTCCAGTAGAATGTCTGATCATCAGCTTCGACTTCGATGCTTCAAGAGCCCCAGAAAGAAATGCATCTCTACCAGGAGATTCAATACTGCTTCTGTTCTTGCAGATGTTTCCAATAATTTTATGGTAACCATATCTCAGATCTTTTCAGTTAGATCATCTTGTTTTCCTGCCTGTTCTTTATTCATTGTGCTTCCTTGTATTGCTTTAGAACCGTTGCTTGTGATGCAGACATTCCAGGCAGGAAGTTTTGCAAAACAAGAAGCAGATCCTAAAATGGTTGCCTCTATAATATTGGGTGGAGGAGCTGGAACACGGCTTTTTCCTCTTACAGAAACTCGGGCAAAACCAGCAGTAAGTCACACGCAACTATGTAGTAACGTTCATCTCTTACAGCCTAAACTTGATCCCTTTCTGAACTGCTACACTTGGTTCTGAATTCTCTCTGTGATATATGCAGGTCCCTATTGGAGGATGCTACAGACTGATAGATGTTCCTATGAGCAACTGCATAAACAGTGGAATTAACAAAATTTACATCCTTACCCAGTACAATTCTCGGTCCTTAAACCAGCACATTGCACGGACGTATAACTTGGGGAATGGCATAAATTTTGGTGATGGGTTTGTTGAAGTACGTTTTTTCTTCTTTCTTAATAGGAAAAAAAAATAATTTTTTGATGCTATTTGTCGAAGTATGTTGCATCTCACAGTCAACTAAATCGAGATTTTTCATTAACCTTGAGATCAGTTGTTGCTGCAATTATTTGTTTGATATTAGGTATTAGCAGCAACACAGACACCGGGGGAATTTGGGAAGAGGTGGTTTCAGGGTACAGCTGATGCCGTGAGACAATTCATATGGTTATTCGAGGTATGTATGTTGAGAGTATCTTAGCTTTATCTTACCGTTTAGAGAATTTAGATTCCATTTAGTGATTCTTTATGCGTTTTTTTTTTGTTTTTTCTTTAGGATGCAAAGCATAGACACATTGAGAACATTCTGATACTGTCTGGTGATCACCTGTATCGGATGGATTACATGGAATTTGTTCAGGTCTTAACCCTTGGTTTGAACTTTAATTTTTTTTTCCTTTCTTGCGTATTGTTTTACCTAAACTCTATTGAAACCAAGCTCTCCATTCTCAGAGACACATAGATTCAGGTGCTGACGTGTCTGTTAGTTGTATCCCTGTGGACAACAGGTGAAGAAGACAGACAAACCTTTTGTATAATATTGATATCTTTCCCTGTCGACAGTTGTTAAAGGGAAAACGCCGTACGATTCTAAATGCTTGTAGCCATGGATTTGTAATGTTGAGTTTTTCGTGAAACCCATGTGAACAATTCAGCTTTGGTTCAAACCCTGTTGTCTTAGGTCGCAGCAAACAAAGAAATTCCAGAACTTTTTACTTGAATTCCAGAAGAAAAAGATTTGAATTTCATTTCATGAAAAGCTTAATCAAAAGTTTTTCATAACTCTCTTTTAAGTTACAGAATGGTTTAATTGTATAATTTTAATAGTATTTCATTGATTTGCGTGGATCGAGATGTCTTGGTTTCATTCAGGCACCACTTGGGGCAGAAATATATTTTAAACAAATGAATATTATGCATTACTAGTAATAGTGACATTTTCACTTTTGCTTACATATCTTTCTCTCCCACAGTCGGGCCTCTGATTTTGGATTGGTGAAAATTGATGAAAAGGGAAGAATAGTGCAGTTTCTTGAGAAACCTAATGGTGAAAGTTTGAGAACAATGGTAGGTCTTGTTATTTTATTAATCATCGTTGGTACTGAAATGAAATACTTTAAACCAACAGAGTTAATGCTGATATCTGATATCTGATTACAGAACGCTCGATTTTGCAGCTCGTAGACACCACGGTTTTGGGATTATCAGATGAAGATGCAAAGAAATATCCCTATATTGCCTCAATGGGCATATATGTATTCAGGACAGATGTTCTGCTGAAACTTCTCAGGTAAATTGATAAAAAAAAGGTTCCTAAAGTACAAACCTGGGTTATTCCCTTTTCTGCAACCAGTATCACAATACCATTACTGATCAGCTTGTCAAATATATTTGCTCTTAAATTTGATGAGATGCATGATGGTTTTCAGATTCTTGATCCGAGAATCATTCTATTTTTGTTCTGGGAGATTCAAAAATGGGTTATTGTTGTTATTTCTCTAGGACGCAATACCCAGAAGCAAATGATTTTGGATCAGAAGTTTTGCCCATGGCAGCAAAGGATTACAACGTGCAAGTACGTTGTTGAAGCCTAATAGACCTGTCTATTTGACCAGTTTGAACTATATAAATCTTACACTAACGATAATATTACTATCCATCTATAAGGCGTACTTATTCAATGGCTACTGGGAAGATATCGGCACGATAAAGTCGTTTTTTGATGCCAATTTAGCTCTCACGAATCAGGTATTCAGTGCTTATCTCTGTTCTCGGCCTCATTTTTTTTCCGGATTACTCTTCCTCTTGAAGTTTAAAAGATATTCTTATTATATCTCCAGCCTCCCAAATTCCATTTTTTTGATCCACACAAACCGATCTTCACATCACCGCGGTTTCTTCCTCCATCCAAAATAGAGGGATGCAAGGTATGAGCGTGATAAATTCATTCCTGTGGCCATGCAATGGTCGTCTTTCGTTACAAGAAAAAAAGTTTGTTCTTGGGTTTTTTTTTTTGCAGATAAAAGATTCGATAATATCTCACGGGTGCTTCTTGAGAGAGTGCAGCATCGAGCATTCCATCGTGGGTGTTCGTTCTAGGCTCGAGCATGGTGTTGAGCTCTCGGTATAATTTAAAAAAAAAAAAACTCCTCGTGTTGCACCTTCCTTTCATCCATCATCTATCTATGACTATGTATCAAGGAGGCATTTTATTTTTTTCTAATTTCACGGGAGGTAATTTTTGGACAGGATACAATGATGATGGGAGCTGATTATTATCAGACGGAACCAGAGATGGCAGCTTTTTTGGCAGAGGGGAAGGTTCCCATAGGTATCGGCAGGGATTCAAAGATCAAGTAAGTTCTTCTAAATGAATCAAGAACACGATTCAGGACCAGTAAAAACGGAATAAGTCTCTGTCTGTGTGCCCCATCCGCAGAAACTGCATCATTGACATGAATGCAAGAATCGGCAAGAACGTAGTCATTGCCAACACTGATGTAAGTACTTTTTTCTGGTCCAAGTTCTTATACACATGTTGAAAATGTTCTCTTAATACTTATAATTTGGGTGGGGCTGGGGGGCATAATCGCATATTTTTGGATCGCAGAGAGTGGAAGAGGCAGCAAGGCCATCAGAGGGATTTTACATCCGATCTGGAATCGCCATTGTCTTGAAAAACTCCATTATATCAGACGGCACAATCATTTAAGGAGCGTCATCTATTCTATTTCAAGTCATTTTCATACCATTATTCTTCAAGGTAAATCAGTGTTTTTTTCCCCATTTGGATCTCTAGATTTAGAGACAGAAAAACTGTGAATAAAAACCATTCCTTGTTTACATATGTCATAGACTGTGAGAGAGAGAGAGAGATGCAAAGCTTAGACAAGAGATTAAGGATGAACTCGGAAACGTTACTTCCCAAACAGACCACAAAGCTCTCAATGAAATCCTTAAACAACACCTGTGGAAAAAGGCTCCTCCTGTTTTTTTTTTGTAATGAATAAACTGTTTTTTTTTTTAAAAATTATCTGCGCATAACACGGTTGCGTTCTCTCTTACGGAAGCGCTCTAACATGAACTGGTCAGTGGCAGCTTGTCTGCTTTTCCCCGCCTCACCGTTAGTAGTATCCGATGGTCTCTGTCCCTCCCTACCATCCTCCCTACTCCCTCTGTTATTATCCTTGTACAGCTCCGGATGTTCTTCACATGATTATTACACACATTCAAAAATTTAACCATTTAGCATATGATATAATATATATATATGTATAATATAAAAGAAAAGCCAGCCAACCTCTTCTTAGCTTCTCAGCATAATCCTTGCCCCGCTGGAAGTAATCCGCACTATAACTAGATGGAATGCTAAACTCTGATTTCGGCCGACCCATTAGCCTCTTCTCTTGCAACAGCTTCTTGGCCGCTTCCGTTTCCTCGATGTTCTTCAACTTGTATCTGCACATTATTCATAACCAAGAACCGTGTTTGCCTCTCCAAGAAACTTAAAACAGAGATTCAACTCAAAATGTATAACTGACTGACGCCAGGATCAGTAGAGAAATTACACAGTTATTTTCGTACTCGATAGGGAGCTGAACCTCTGCTATCCCAGTAGTCCACTGTGTCGAGCTCTCTTCTGAACTACGCTTCTTCACCTGCGAGTATAATGGGAAGATGCAGCTCAGAAGAACAGTTGAAAATATAGTCCAGAGCAGTTGTTGTAAGGTTAGATAGTAGCAGTATGTATACTAGACAAGCCACATTTGAAGCAAGAATAAGTTTTATGGAAGTATGATGCTCTATCATTATTAGAAAATGCTGAGATCTCAAAAGTAAATAATAGATGTGATGGAAAACCCTTACTTTAAGGTGCTCAGGTATCCTGTATAGTTCATCTTCAACACGCTTCAACTCATTCTCAACCTGATCTGAAGTGTCGAGATTCTTGCCCCTCTTCTTTGCCAATTCTTGTTCAATGTACTTTACCCTGTTGAAGAAATCAAAGGCACCATTCAGCATGAAACATTGTTGACAATTCCAGATTCAGAATCCATATTTGATCAAGAAAATACAGAACCGACCACAAATTGAAACACGAGCAGAGACCATGAAGAAGCCTGGAGCAGAACAAAAAACACACACAATTATATAGAACCACCCTTTAAACGGCCAGCCAGCATCAAAGCGCATCAGGTTTCAACAACCTATTTCAACTTCATACATCCTACTGCTCCTCATGATCACAGAGCCTAAACCATAAACCTTAATCAAATCTGGAAGAAACGAAATTTCAGCAGAAGGCAGAAACTTTACAAGGAAACAGAGAGAGCGGACACTAGATAGAGAGACAGCTCAGTCGCTCATTCCGTTAAGCAGGTTACCTTATAACATATCAATAGAAACACAAAGATTTAACATAAGTTAAGTTAAACGATATCTCACATGTTGGGATCTTCAACCAAGACAGCAGTCTCCTGGGCAAAAGTATCCTGCAACACCAACTCCTCCTTCTCTCCATCCCCTTCGCTCTTCTCTGTCGTCTTCACCTTTCCAACGCTATTCTGCGCCGTAGGCAAAGCAGGGATTCCCAATTTTCTCTCTCTCTGTTTCTGCAAGAACTTCACCTCCTCCAACGCCAATCTGCAAAACCACCCATTAGCCAAAATTGATCCGCTTTTCACCCTCTTACATCACCCGTCGAGTTATTTAAGGCAATTTCAACGAACTGGCGTTAGAACCACTTCGTGGATGCGGGAAAAAAAAAGGAAGGAAACCCTAATGATGTGACTTTCTATCTCGCCCTCACCTTCGTTGTTCTTCTTCATCGGAAGCGATTCCTTTCGAGGGGTCATCTTCTTCGTCCTCTTGGAAGGTCCGTTTCCTGAAATTCTTCTTCGGCGGCATCGCAGAAGCTCCGGTAGTCCTCTCCCACTGGATGCATCAGAACTCAGAAGCGCTCGTCATTGTTATTTGTTTCGTGTTTGTTCAAAGTAACTTGAAACGCAACGTTTCGATTTGGGCCTTTTATGTGTAGGCCCATTATAATGTTGGGCTTCCAGAGCCTATTAGTAAATAGGTAAATTTATGAAACAATATTTTACGAATCATCGCATGTTTTATTCTTTTGGATATCCAATGTCTAAAGTAGGTCTGTCCATTCAGGTTGCATATCCCATCTCTAAATGGGCTTTATTTAGATTTATGTGGGCCTTTTGTTTATTTCTATCAATGGGCTTGTAAGTGATGCCTGTTATGTTATCGAGTCTCAATTAAATGGGCCTATCAGTGGAGCTTGAAATTGAGAGTGGAGATGTTTAAATAAATAAATAAAAATCATGGTTTTTAAGTTTTCCTCTTTTTTCTTTTCTTCTAAAGTAGGGCCGACAACAATTCCATCTATGGAACATTAGATGGTATAATACGATGTGATTAAGCAACAACCATTTAATTTAACGTAGGACCTGCGGAATATTAGCTGAAACCACAGCCACTATAGTGATTTGTGTGTTTATGTTACAATAATGATTTGTGTTTCCACAGATGAACAGAGTGATTCCTAAGACATTTAGACTGTTTCTTACATGAATATGATCCTTACAATGCAGACACAATGGTAAGCCCAAAAAAAATGTAATGCATAATATATCAAACATTACATGCCAAACATTTTGGGAGGGTTATTCACCCCAATTTCTTCGATCTTTCGGAAGATATAATTAGACCACAGAACTGGTAACTCCCGAATTATAAAAAAAAAAAAACATGCATGCCAAACTCAAAGTGCAAGCAATGCCATTACAAATAGCACTTAAAGACCCCCCAAAAACTAATAACAACAACCACAACAAAAGCAAGAGAAGAGAAACTCTTTGAAATATGCACAGAACAAACGAAATTAACAAAAGAGGGTCAGGAAGAAGAAGGATAAGAGGAAGCAGAGACAAAAGCAACGGCCTGCGCCCATGCCTTGAGCCTCTCCTTCACGTCTTTCGGGTCATCCCCTGAACACAAAGTCATATAACCACCAATCAGCAGACCAGAACACGAATATTCGATTCATGGGGGAAACCCGACAACAGGAACAGGACACGGACCAGGACTGGAGATTCTCCAGTTGGAGCTGGGGGAGTTTCCGCCGCTGCTTGTGTCGGCCGAGTAGGAGACCCGACCAGGCTCCAGCTCAAACCCTAAATCCTTACAAGCTTTCACCTCATCCAAATCCATACACAACGCCCTTCCCCCTCCGATCGGCCTTGTCACCACCACCACACCCCCGTGATCGAAATTCCCCTCGTAGCTCCGCCGCATACTCCCCTCCCACGGCGAATATTCCCGCCTCATCCTCCTCCTCCTCCATTCTTTCCCCTTCTGCGCTTCGTTCTCGCTCGCGTACGCTTTCTCTCCGGATACCGGCGAATTCATCATCGGATCTCCTCCGCTACCGGGATTTCTCCTCCTCCTTCTCGGTGGCGTCGCCGGCAGCGAATGACAACCTGGTTCCTTGTCGGAATCGGAGAAAATCAGTGGCACAGACCTCTGTACCCGTTCTCCGCCACGATTCTCAGAATCGGAAAGCTCCTCGTCGGCGTATCCGTCTGCAGCATCGAACTCGTCGCCATTGTCGCCTTCATCTTCTTCATAGTTCGTACAGATTGAGAGCCTCGACAAGGGATGGTGGTGGTTACGGTCAAGATCTTCGTCGTCGTCGTCTTCGTGTGTGATGGACGCCATGTTCGCATGAACATCGAACGCCATAGCTCGCCCGCAATTTTCCTTTTTGTTTTCTTCTTCCTTTGCTGTTGCTTGTTCGTTCGAACTAAAATGGTTTCTGGACGGATTTTCCGCTTTAATTAGAAAGATAACGACGGAGAAACCTTATTTATAAACAGCACTGGTTTATGAAATACCAAATTTACCCTTTCCCAAAATCAATTCATATAAAAACCCTAACATACCTTTCTTTACTATCACGCGGCATGGATGTTTAATTACGCCGTTAATGCGTTTGAAATTAGCCTAATTTTATGTGTTGACTTATAATGATGGATTTTTTTAGAAATAACGTTTTCTTAAATGAATTGTCCTATTTTAATAACAAAAACTACCCTATTTCTCATATTGAGTGTTACCTAGCATAGTTATAGGGTTTTTCGTCAACATTTATTATAATCCATGGAATATATGAACATTACACATATATATACACACGCATACATTCACAGTCATATAGTTTGTTTGTTTGTAGAATTATGGAGTGTAACATAAGTATTGGAACGGTCAAATCTATGTCAGTCCCACGTGGCACTTGGCGCTTGTTGTAACTAGGGGGGGATAGAGTTGGGTAAGACTAAAAAGGGTAATATTGTAAAATTGTAAAATTAACGGATAATTAAAATTTTAAGATTGGTTGGGGCATTAAAGAGCAGTTAAATAACTCGTCGGCTGAGACAAGTGAGCCTGACCATCCGGTTAATGACACGTGGATAATTACCAGTCCGCACGACTTGGCTCCACAAACGTGGCTAAATCTCGTCGTTGATATACCGGTGACCGGTCTTATATAATTATATATTAAAAAGATATTCCTAACAAATATATTATGAATAATGCATGTGTGTGTGTGTGTACATACACAAGTAATGTATATGTGTCGAGGGATATAATTAAATGCACATATAAATGTAATGATTTTCGTGATGCATGTAACCGCGTGGACGGTCACACACGTGTTGATTAGGGACTATGAGAAAACATATTCATTTACTTTATAAAGGTGAAGCAAGATATCGGCAAGATAATGTCTTTGTTAACGATAAGGTTACGTAATTTTTCCGTGAATAAATGCAGTAACATTATTATATTTGGAAAAAATATCACAATGACATAGGTGTGTATATTTATACTCGTAATATCTTTTAGGCTTTTCGTGCCAGATATATTTTTTTAATTAAAAAAATATTGGATAAATAAAGGAAAATCCTGATTTCCCCGTGAAATAGGCTCAAAAGATATTAAAGATATTATAAATATTTACTGATTTTTTTGTTGTCGATCAATTTTTTTTATGGAAAAACTAAATTATCATAATATGATATGAGAGCGTGGCATTCTTACACATGGCCCCCGACAGATACTTTGATGTACTTTGCAGGTAGTTTTGTTCTTTAGCTGTAAGTATTTTTTCTGTTAACACGTTTCGGCAAAATAATAATAATAATAATAATAATAATAATAATAATAGATGATTATCATCTAATGACTGCATCACGTATATTTCCTTGTCATATAAGAGATTGAAAATTGAACTTTTAATATTTTTGTATATGTGAGAATATATATTAAAAAAAAACTAAGCTGTTGACTAAATTGCGATTAGTTGAAGTTTATTTCTTTTGTGTGGGTCAGGAATCACGATTGGAAAAACCAAAATGTTTCTATGTTTATTTTAGTTTACGAGATTTCTCGAATTGTCTTAACGAATGAAATGGTTTTGGACGAGATGAAACCATCACGTGACACTGAATCGGTTATGTTCCTTGAATTGTCTAATCAGTACAAAATTATAATAAAACTTAAATCGATGGGTCTATTTACTAAAATCTTACCGACCGTTGATCAATTCTAAGTCTATGGCAAATGGACGGCCGTGATTAGATGATATACATACATTTAATCTCGTTTTTAGGTTAAAAGTGTTTTATAAATACATACCAAAAATTGAGTTCGTAAAAGGCCAAGACCGGCCAAACAAAAGCGATAGAAATAAAAATTTATTCTCAAATCCCAACCAATAAACTCTCTCCAAATGTGCAATAAAAAATAAATTTTTTTTTTTAAAAGGAACAGTGAGAATAGATGGCCAGAAATTGTACTATATAATAATATAACTATATAGTTGACAGACACGTAATTTATCAGATACGGTCGGTTCCATTTACAAATTTAATAAAGAAATGATAATGGGCTCTTGTAGCCCAATAAAAAGGCCCAAAAGTAATTTTAAAATGGGCTATGTGGGCTCCGAATGTGCGTCGTTAGTTGTTTTTTTTTTCTTATTCATGTTTTTATTCACATCCAGAAATTATAATATCCACAAAATATGACATTTGATTCAAGTAGGATTCGAAGTTATGTACACGTACGCGTAGAACATTGCTTTATTATTGTTCTCCCTTTTTCTTTGTGAAAGAAATAAAAGGCGAATTAAAGTTGATAGAAAAAAGGATTATTTATTTGTTTAATTTTATTTTCAAATGAAAAGACAACTAAACCTGTTTGTGTTCAGTCCGTGGAAAATGAACCTAAAATAAAGGGAAAGGTAAAAGTAATAAAGCCCTTGATATAAATTAAAAAGCGACTATTACTTTTGAAGAAGCTTCACCTCCTGTTTTTCCATTTGCCAATTGGAATAAATGCCCTCCTCCCCAAGAAAAAGGCGTATAGACCAAAATGGTCGTGATAATTATTTTATTTCAATTCTAAAAAAAAGTAAATATACATACCCAAAAATTTATTTGAAAAAAAAAATTCCATTAATTAATCCACCAACAACGATTAAAACCCAAGAGAATGAATTAACACCTCATCGAATACATGGAATCGAACATGGTGTTGAATGGTATATAATATAACACAAGCTATATATACATCAAACATTAAAATGGACGCTTGAAAAGATCCAAAGAAATACCAAAAACGAAAATATATATATATTATCACACCTTAATTATAGGACAAGTTATGCGGCTTAAATGTGGCCATATCATATGCATGCTGGTTATAGGGCCACATACCGACATTCGAACCCTCTGTGCCGAAATATTTGGTTTCTGATTTGATTTCATTGTATAACGAACTCGAATGATTCTGATTCTGTATCGAAACCGGGTTCTGATCAATCACTTGTCCTTGTTGCTGTTCTTCCATCAATCCCCAGTTCAGATTCCCGTTTCCGTACAATGATCCATTATAGTTGTTTTGAAGCTCTGTGATTGTTGGCATGGTGAATGAGTTCTCCAGTGTTGGGATCATACCGGTACTGGTACAAGACCTGTACCCGGTCGAACCGGACAACAAAAATGACCCCGGTAGTACCACTGCACTAGGTACGGTTTCGATGTTCATATCGAGATCTCTACCGATTGGGGAATACCATATACCGTGGTTCGAAGCTGTCGGTATACCTGAACCGGCTTCGAGGCTCAACCGATGAAAACCGAAATTTCCGGTATAGTCACTGTTCTGGTTGCTGCAAGTGGTTGTGCTTCCTGTGTTAACGGTTCTGGAGGTGGAGGAACAGCATTCTGTCTCAATCTGGTAAGTCTGAGCGGCGAAGGAGGCTTCCCGGTCTCTTAGTTTGGTCTGGACATCGGTTTGGGGGTCGGTTTTGTCGTCCATACCGGTTTCGAGTTCGGTTAAGGGCTTGTGGGTAACCGGGTCGATTCCTCTCAGCCTTAACTTTTTCTTCAAGCAAGAGTTCCAGAGGTTCTTGATCTCATTGTCGGTTCTACCGGGAAGCTGCGCCGCAATCTGAGACCACCTGAACCGAACCGAGAGAGATATCATCAGCTCAGTCGTACCAGCCGGTGATAACGTGTAATTAAACATGATAAAAATCAAAATAGACGGGCATGGTTTGAGAATTACCTGTTTCCAAGAACGGCATGGAGTTCAATGATGAGATTCTCTTCTTCCTGAGAAAATGCGCCTCTCTTCAAGTCTGGTCTCAGGTAATTTATCCATCTTAATCTGCAGCTTTTTCCACATCTCTGGAGACCTGCAATTTCATCACGTTTCATAATCCCAGAAAAAGAACATGGGTTTCTGAGAAAAAAAGATAACTTATGAAACCCAGAAACACTTGTGTCCTGACACCATCTGAATCCGAGAAAACCCAGAAAACAAACTCTATAGACAATTCATCAGTGACATTCTTGGTGTAGAAAAGAAAACCCAGAAATTATAAGAAATACTGTATGCAGATTTCTTTCAGAAGTGGTGGGAGGGAGAAAAATTAAGAAAGTACCAGCTTGTTTGGGGACAGAGCTCCAGCATCCATGGCCGTACTTGGTGATATACCTCAGAAGCTTCTCGTCTTCTTCAGGAGACCAGAGGCCTTTCCTTAGCTTCTGTTTGTAACAGCATGAATGCCTCCCCATCCCTTCTTTTCTTTTTTTTTTTCCTTTTTATATTTATTATTTTCAGAGTTTATGAAGGAAAAGAGCCCCGAAATTGACCTCGAAAAATAAATAATTGTTTCTCTCAGGGCCAGAAAATAAGAGCTTTGGAGTCAGTTCTTGAGCAATCTGTAGTTCATATATCTGAGATGATAGAGAGAGAGAGAGAGAGAGAGAGAGCGAAAGCGAAGTGAGAAGATGAGAAAAGGAGAGGAAGAAAGGGTTTAAATATATAATAAAAAAAAATGGATTGCATTTGGTACGTTGCGAGCTACGGAGTCAAACGAGAGAGCTTGCTACAGTCTCTTTCGCATATATATATATATATATATATCACAGAAATCTTTACCAAAAAACATATAGATGTATCACAGAAATCTAATTTTTATTTATAATAATAATATCATTTAGATGGGTAGACAAATACATATGTATTCTGATAATATATGTGGACAGGCTCATGCAGTTGGCCTTGATTCTGAACACACACACACATATATATACATGATTTATTCACCCAATAGCGAATATGTTCCGTATATTTATTATTATTTGTAATAAATATGCCTCCCCGTCTCTTTTTCCTACACGAAACGCACTTTTGCGTTTTTCACGTGGAATAAAAAAAATGCTTTACTGTAAAACTAATAAGTTCCCGAGAAGAAGGCCTCCGCTCCCACCAATGTCTACTGTTAAAACAATATCCTAATACATTCATTTGTAATTTTAATGGTAAGTTTATCAATATAGTTAAATATTATGTATTTAGTTTAAAAAAAAAATCATTGAGCATCTCCATCCGTGGAATATTTATTTTTCATTGTCATATAGTTTTTGGAAATTTTCACCGTTAGGTGAGAACTTAGTATAAAGACAATTTCGTGGAATATTTATTTTCCATTTCGATCTTTTCTTCTTTTTATAGCAAAATCCACTTGTATTGAGATTTCCTACAAATATAAAGTTTTATCAGTTTGAAAGTTACAGCAGTGATAGAGCATTAGAGGAAGAAAAAACGATAGCATTGATGGTGATGGTGATGGTGATGATTACTGAATGTATGGATGATGGTGATGATGATGCTGCATGATGGTTATACCTTGACAGTCAAATTGAATTTGAGATGGAACTCATTTTCCTCATTAATAATAGGTATTCTTTGTCTTTAGAAGAGAATATTATTATAGTAATTTAGCAATGATGAAAGTTAGAAGCACAATTGTAATTAAATGAGTTTGAAAAGGGGGTGAAATTAATTTTAAAATTCACTTTCAACTGTGTAAACTCAGTTTTATATTCTATTGATTATTTTCATGTTGAACATACAATGAATAAAATACTGCATTCGGATTAAAGACAAGTTTCATAGAATATTTAACAGGATGATTAGTTTAATCCTTTTTTCTAATGATTGAAGTTTAATTAAGAGAAACATAATAATTCGAGTTTATTCTCGCGAATCTGAATATTTAATTACTTCAAACAAGAGAAACTTTAAGTTTGCGCCAATTTAATATTACAGCAAAGTAACCATTGGATGATAAGTTAATTAGTTACTCTGCATTACAAACATAATGATTCCATATACTATTATTGGTTATACAGATTTTTATATACAAAATCAATTAAGTCACACTAATTAAACAAATAATATAATGTTATTTCTATTATACAAATAAATAGTTGTTTAATTATGGCCTTCACCAGAGCAAATGAATCTTCTTCATTGAAGATTGGCCAGGTCTTGAGAGGCGGCTAATGAAGGCAACATCAAATTATTGACTTACCATTATGATTTTTCGAATTTCTTATTATTCTTACATAATATATATATATATATATACAGCGTATATGGGCATATGATGATTTGATTATATTTATATTTAAAAAAAATAGTTTTGGAAATTTTTTTATGTAAACCCCACTTGGGCCCATTTACAGTCAACCCCATGAGGAGAAAAAACCATAAAGATCGAACGGCTGATAAAGCAGGTATGTGCGACGGACGGCGGTTAATAATTGTATACGGTTAGATCGGTGGGCGCGAAACAGTAAATCAAAAGCGGGGCCCAATGGATACGGAGAACGACAGAGCAATTGCATGTGATTCGCTGTTGTAGATAACGTATCTCGACTCCATCTTTGATGGGACCCTTAGCTGTCTGAAAAACAACGAAAGAGTCCACGTACGCCCGGATTTATTTAAAAACGTATCCCGGATTTTTTTATATTTATTTTATTCGTTTCTCTTTATTGTTTTTTCTTTGTAAGAGTTATTTTAATTCATTTATTCATTACTATTGGAATCTATATAGCTACTTTCCCCTTTATATATTGGTTATATATTTTCCTCAAGTCTATACAAATTTCAAGAATATAGAAAATATACATTTAAGGCCTAAATTTCCAAAAAATCTACGTGCATGCGTGCTTTTACAGATTTTTTTTTTTGGGTAAAAGCTTTTACAGATTGTTCTCGTGAAGGTAACATGAGTACGACTATAAGCATACGAAACATACACTCACACACAGGTATATGTATACAGACGGATTTTTAGTTGTATTAATTTTTTTTTTGTGTAAAAGTGTCACAAAAAGTATACTTTTGTGAAGATGTGAAAAGATGATATCGACACCCGAGAAATTGCTTCACTCCCAAGTCGGTACCTAATATTTTTGTTTACATGGCCTACAAAACGCTACGAGCACGCTATGTATTAAAATCGAGATGATTGATCACAGCCAAAAGGGTGGGCCATGGAGTTTTACGTACTTATGTATGATACGCGTGCATGTATGTGGTCACCATGCATATATGTGTATGTACACGAGGGCGGATGTACACGTACATGTGTACATTCAAGCTCAATTTTGTTTCCCTATTTAATAGATACTTAAGTCCACTTTTAAGGGATTGGTGAAGGAGTTTATATATTTTTCTAATTTCGAAATGGTGTATCCACACTCAGAATCAGAAGGTAAACTATAAAACGTCAATATATTTTCACATGTTAAACTGATACATGTGCATGGAGTTGGTCTTTATATATAGCCCACGTACGTACGTGTGCATGGTTTATATATGGATATATAATGAAGGAGCATGGTTGAGATGGTAACGAGAATTATTCATGATAAACCCCAAACAAGTCATAGTGATATCAATTTTTTTTATTTTTAAAAAAAAGTCAAATGTAATGGATGATACGAGTGATACAAGAGTTGCGAGGCCCCACACATAAAGAGTCAAGAGTTCAATAATTCTGCCCTATGCTATTGGTATTCAAATGTGGTGCCAAAAAGGAAACGTCCTTTGCTAGTTACGTTTTTTTGGTATTTATTTCTATATCTGCCTAAACTTTTCCTCTTCGTCATTATTATTTCTTTCTACATTTTCTTCGTGTTTCGTGATGCATTTTCCCGAATGGTGCATGTTAATTTACACAAGTACAAACACATGCAGGTATGTGTGTGTGTGTGTGTATACAACCGAAATCATCAGGAATTTCGAGATGTTATAAAAAATGGGTTAGATTGCCGGAGATCTCTGTATTCATTCATTGGTCCCAAGAACTTAAAATGTATCAAATCTTAGTTAGTATTAAATAGTCATCAAAGCACAAATTCAATATATATATATATATGTATGTATGTATGTATGTATATATATGTATGTATGTATGTATGTATGTATGTATGTATGTATGTATGTATGTATGTATGTATGTATGTATGTATGCAAGCTTCCGTGCTGTTCATTCTTTTAGTTGGATTGTAACATTATTAATTATCTTTTTTAAGTTCTCAAGGAGTTATGTTTATAAAACAAGACATTATTGATGAGTATTTGAACCTGACGTCTGGAGTTGGGCATCGGACAACGACATAATTATATAGCGCACGAGAGTTATATATGCGAGGAATGTCTTGATGTATGTATAGTTTGCCTAGTTTCGATCAAATAGTTTGACGAGGAAATTTATGTAACTGCGGGAAACTGATATATAGGATCATTAGGTCATAGCCTAAAGTATTAAACGAGCATGGATATTTTCTCGTTATACGAAAATCTTACATAATTTATTGCATTAATTTTTAATAGATTTCACGTAATAATTTTAATGAGAACATATTATGGGTAAAAATTTGAGGGAACAATAAGGGAACGAAAATGAAATTTTCAGAAAACTTTGGGAAAACCAGAAGGAAGAAAAAAAAACACAGAGATTGAATCGGTGTGTGGTCGACACGTGTACTTTCTGGAGGATGGGACCCAGTTAATAAAGAGAGGACAGAGGAAGGGAAACTGGGCCATAAAATTGGGATCGGACGTGGGTCCCAGGAAAAAGGATGTGATGGCTGTGGTGATTAAGGATGTACTAACCATGGAATCGCTATGCATCATCATCATCATTCACCATTCTTCCGAACGCCACTATTCTTTTGAAGACCCTCCTCTACCTGCAAAATTAATAATCTTCAGGACCTATTTTTAATAATATAAATTTTAAAAATGCTTAACTATTTTAGAAGATTTAAATTTCCGCAAATGTTACATAAACATGTGATAAAGACGATGATAAAGCGATAATTAAATATAAAATCGATTGACGGATGATATAATAACACAAAGCTTCAATTTTATAAATATAGATACAAATGAATAATAAAAATATCAAATATCTCATCAACTTTATTATGACGTCATATAAATATCTTAGATATATTGGTACACTACCTCATGTGAAGACTGAAGGAAAAAGGGCAAAACTCGGAGTATTGAATAAAAATATTAATTAATGACGTAAGTGAACAGTGGTTGTCGGCAAAACCTTCGTTTGCTGTAATTATTTATGTTAAAGGGTACTAATTAGTTTAATAATCTTCTCTTTAATGATGGGTATTCCGCATTTGACATTAATGATTAATCTGTCTGCCATTGTAAATTCAAATAACGATCGGCGAAATTTCATAGATCAGTCGCCTTGACAATAAAACTTTCGTATGATTACGATTTGATATTACATTCAAAATTTTAGTACGTACCAAAAAACCACAAATCTGTCAAATTGATTAGAATCAATAGCAGAGCAACAATGTTGGGACTCATGTAAAAAAATATTAGTATTATAAATATGTATACTCTGGTGTCACACTTTACAAAAAATGTCAATGTA